GTTTATGAGACGTAGTTAATTCATGTAAAGTGATATCGCCCTCGCACGATTTACATTCATCAGGCGAGAGACGAACACGCACGTGAGATAATAAATCATCAAGAACTTGATCATCAATTTCTTCACAGGAAAAAGGTCGGGAGTAAAAATGTACGTGAGCACAAGAGATGTGTGCCTGAGAAAAAACTTCAACATGGTCAGCGTTATAAACAGATTCAATTGAGCATTTACAGACACGTTCCCGTTCAAGCTGAAAAAAATACCGCGAGGGTACTTTGCCCAGTTCTAGCCACTGGGCTCTACTTCTGATCTGAAAACCTTCCATGTCTTGCATATAGGTTGCGTTCAAGTCAGTTTCAGTACGGAAAATTGCAGATTTGACAGAGGAATTACCAGCAACAATAGCAGCTTTAAGCGAATTAATTTATTCGTTAATAGCACTCGATCATACGGGCGATCATGGGAGATAGTACGAGAAAATTCAACTGAATTTGTCTAAGATCCTGTTTTAAAGCCTCCCAGAAATCAACTACTGACGGACAACTATGCTCAAACAGAAAAAGTATCGATAGCCGAACGGATTTTCTGACTAAAGATTTCAATAGAAAGTGAAGAATTATTTAATTTCCAAATTCCAGGGCCGTGCTGTACAAAAGATGAGGGGTCAACAACAAGAGAAACAAATTCATGATCAGAAAATGTGCAGGGACTAATTTCCCTAACCCTAATCTCTAGAGGTCAAGAAAGTGTCTAAACGGCTAGCAATAGAAAGATCCGAATTGAACCAAGTAAACTGAGAACGCAGATTTTTAAACCGCCACGCATTGATTCAACTAAGATTCGATTTAAGATTTGCAAATTCAGAGGTTAGAACGGGGTTACCACCAAACTTATCACGCACGTTCTCATAACAATTAAAATCACCACAAACAATGAGACTGGCACGAGTGAAAAAAAATCTATGTAGAGACCGCAGAAAACAATTTCTCTGTGCTGGCTGAGTAGGTGCATAAAAACATACAATATTCAAATTAACATCACTATGATTAATTACAAGACTTATAGCTCAGCCATCCGTGTCCCTTTTCCGAGAAACCACGTGACCATCAAATCACTTGGAAATAAACAAGGAAACACCCGCACTTTTCCCACTCACGGGAACAGAAAACAGGGCCAGAACAATAAGAGGTTAAAGCCTTAAAAGAGTTCTCATCAGATATAAAAGTTTCCTCAACAGCAACGAAATCAACAGAGCCAGTACGGGCAAAATCAAAAATCGAAGTCACGTTTGTGGGTATTAAAACCAGGCAAATTGATGGTCACTAACTTGAAAATAGGTTAATAATAAATAAACATAGGTGTTAATACTATGACTTTTTGGAAGTAACTATAGAAGGCCGGGTAGCCTTTCTGACCGGGGGGCCAGAGTGCAACATTTTACCTCTGTGAGGAAGACGATTGCTGACCCTCGTCTTCACATTCTTGCGTCTCTTCTTGAAAGCTGCCGCATCTTCAGTAATGGAAGGTTCTGCGGTTGTAGACTCTGTCTCAGTATCCTCACCCGAGCACTGTGAGTCGCCGTCATTGGCAGTAGAAAAATCAGCATCCTGGTCCTCACCAATAGACAAGAACGAGTCTGCTAGAACTTCACCCGCGATAGGGGTTTTAGGAAGCACTATACCATGGGAGCCAAGAACGTGCACCTCAGCAGAAGACAGCGTAGGAGAAGATAGATAGGCATTAGTGGTGGAACAAACACCACTCATAGAGTCCTCCAGTGATGCACCTGGGGGGGGGGGGGGCGGGATCCCCAGAGGGGGGGGGCCCTCACGAGGGGGGTTTTCTTAATTAGGTCGGCCAGGGCGTCCTGGGGCATC